TGCCTTTTATCAAATCAAACTTAATTGAATCTTTCTTATTGAATTTATAATAATTTTTTCGTGTAACCTATTCTATTTTAATATAAATTTTTAATTATCATTAAATATAGTTCATTTTTTTCTGTATTTGATGCAATTCATTATTTCATAATTATTTCAATGTTTGAATATTTCGCGCGCAATCACGTGACTACACAAGTTCCTGTCCCCCAGCAATGTACATGGCGCATCCCTCCTATAGGATCCCTAAGATCCCTAAATATAACAGCGACCCCTTTCAAAATCAATAATTATTAATAAATGTTTCTCTATGTACAATAATAATTCGTTACATAACATTTCGTACATTATCGATGCAACGTGGCCAATGAGAAGAAAGATTTTTATAAATAAGACGTAATACTACATTTATACTGGCATGTATACGTTATTATCCTAATTTTGATTCATGTTTTAACACCTACATGAATCACATATAGATACAGTAAAATCAACACACGATAAACACAATGAAAATTTAACATTGTGAACAAGCGTGCATTATCAATATACATTTTATTTACTACATTTTTTACTTTTTTTTTTCAATTTTTTATTTTCTTAATTTCTCTTTTTTTTTATTACATCAACTGATGATAATTGTTGAACGTTGCATTTAATTTTTAATAATCTTAATTGTGTGTGTGATATATAATCAAATGCCTCATGAGACGATGCAATCATTTATTATTTAGAAATGTTTAGTTCTTTTTATAAAATTAATAGTGATAATAATAAAATGTTTAGGTCTTGTGCGTGCTTATAAACTGATTACAAAAGAAAGAGAATTTATTGCAGTGAATCAGATAAAATGGAATCGTTTGAGAAAGATAAAATGGAATCATTTGAGACTGATAAAAAGTTATTGGAAGTTTTGGAAATTTTTCTTTCACCAAACTATAACATTACTTCTGTAACTTATCTTGATCTTCTGTTGACTCACATAGAAGAATTACTAAATAAACAAGGTAAGATTATAAATAAATATTGTTATAGAATTTTATTAATTGTTGTATATATTATATAATAATTAAATGAAATTGTGTGTGATACTTTCAGCTTCACTAAATCAACGACATTATGAAGTTCTTCATAAATGGGTTTTGCAAGCATTAAACACATGGGATTCTAATAGCAAACCGTCTAGACCCATAATAATATTTACGTTAAAACTTGTTGGAATAGTTGCTTCCAATGAATTAGATTTTCACCAATGGCAACGTTATAATGTATATGAGAAACTTTGCTCTATCATTCAACCTTCCGATGAACATTTATCTGCGTCTGTTATAATTGCTTATACCCAAATGTTATCGAATTTAATTAAACATGAAAGTGGTAGAAAATGGGTACTTCATTCAGGTAAGTTGTTGTTACTATTTGATAATTATTTGTATATTATATATTTTTTTTATATTTAGGTGTCTGGAAAGATATCGTAAAGTGTGCTCATAAAAATTATACTATGTACATTACCCACGAGAGTCAAAAATTTTTATGGACTCTTCTCTTACACGAACAAGAAAATATTCCTATTTGTATGGAAATTATATCAGCTATAGCTGATCCATTAGTAAAAAATAGTTATAATTCTCAAACACATCAAACTTTAGAAGACAGTTACTTAGATGAAAACGAATTTCTATGTAATACTTTAGGTTTAATCACCAGCATTTTTGAAAACACGCTGTTCATAAGCATGGATAGTAACATACCGGACTTTTTCGAAGAACTTTACGAATTAGAAATGCGGGTTAAAGCACTTTTTGAAGCATGCATTGGTACTAGATTTCTTCAGCATGTACATAAACTGTTGTTGTTATTACTTTTCTTAAAATTGAAACGTGGAATCAGAAGTGATACTAAGGCCATAGACAATGACGTATGGCAAAAATTCAACTATGGTATATGCTATATATCAATGATGCTACTATCCAAAAAATATATTGTTGAACTTATTAAAACTAATAAATTTTTAATGATATATTGGAAAAAATTGCGTACGCTATGTGAGTTTACCTTGCCAGAACAACACAAATTTGAGCATCAAGCAATAGTGCTAATGGTACAATAATATTAAACATTGAAATATTTTTTAGAAAAATATAAAACTCATTCTTATGCAATTTTTTTTGCAGATTCTACCATTGTGTATATGTGTGAGAAAAGATCATATACAGAATGAATTATTTGATATGTTTATTAATAAAATTTTTGATGTAACGTGTATGCCAGTGCAAAGATTATTGTATAACATTAGAGATGTAATTTGGAAAAGTGATTTACCATTAGAAAATATTTGTAAAATATCAATTGATTTACTTTTAGAAATAACAAACATCATGGACAGGGTAAGATTCTAAGTATTTTATAAATTAATATTTTTCATAACATTAAACTCAACAAAAATCTAATTAAACTGAAATCTTATTTTATATACAGGATGTAGCAGTTATTACATTTCAAACGTTGTGTCATATTTTAAAAAATTATCTACCAAATGTACGAGATGGAATGAAAATTTGTTCATCTTCGGAATCTAGTAAAACAAATCTCCCAGACAATTCAAGAAAAATAACTTATAAGTCAATATTAGAAGGTGATCCGATAGTTGATAATCCTATTTTATTGGCATCACTTCTTAATGGTCTTGCTGTTATAACAGAAAAGTTTAAATTGAAATGGCAAGAATGCGTTGAAACAATATGTCTATTGTCTCTTGCGCAAGGTATTTTAAATCATCAAGGTATTTTACCTATGGTAAGAAAATTTAATGAATTATATCTTTTATTTTTATTCTACTCTTAATAAATTTTAAATCTATAATATTAAATATTTTATTTTTCTTACAGCTTTGTGTGAAAGCATTAAAAGTATGTAAGCTGGCTATTCAAAACTTTATGCCACCAAATTTGGCATTGCTCGTAGATTCGGATAGTCACATGAATGAAATCGGTCCGACATTTTATAAAAGATTACACGATCCTAATTGGGAAGTTAGAGATAGTGTATTAGAAGTACTAAACACTATCGCAATTATTTCAGAAGATAGTAAGAATTGTGAATATATTAAAATATTATTGAATATAATTATTAATTATTAATTTCTCGATAATTATTTACAGAATATCCAGCATTCCAAGATTTTTTACTTTCTAATCAATTTGTAGAATTGGCAATTGATATTGCATTGACAGATGGAGAAAGCTACGTACGAGCGTCCGCTCTAATTTTTATTTCGTCTACCATTCGTATAAAAAAATTGTGGGATGAAAAATTATCTTTTTTTAATTTTCCCGTATGTTTATATTGTTAGTAAATTAGTTCAATAGAAATAGTTTAATAATAGTTTTGATAATAATTGTATAAGAATATATATAAAATTATTTTTTTTCTTTTCATTTATAGGATATAATTATAAAATTGTATAACAATGAAACTGAAGGTATAGTTCGAAGAGAAGCCGTAATTTTAATGAAAGAATTATACATTTATAGAAAATGGTTGTAAGTCTATATAATTCGTCAATTTTTTTTTAAACTTCTTATATTTAATAGTATGTATAATAATTATGTTTTCTCTATATATTTCAGGAAAAATACTATTAGTTGTATATCAGAAGTAATGTCCGTGGCAGCTATTTTTGATTTACATTGGGAAGTTAAAATAAGTGCATTAGAATTTTGGAAACATTTCATTAAATCTCATTTGAGCGATCAAGGGATGTTAGATGGGTCATTTCCAAATGTAACATTTTCTAAAGAGCAAAGAAAAATAGTCGCGTTGGATGAAAACGAAATAAAACGTAGATTAAATAAAGCACTGGATGAACTTGCGAGACAAAATTGTTTGGGTGTAAGTAGTTGCAGAATAAATATTTGTATGTGTTTGCTTTATTATTTATTAATTTGCATTATATAATTTGTATATTTGCCTTTTAGGTTTTGTTGGTCACTTTAAAAGACGATAGCGATTTTGAAGTCTGTAAAGCTTCAGCAATGATTATAAACAAGTTAAAAACATTTTTATTAAAATATAAAATCAATGATTCATTACTCGAAATATCCTCACCAAAAGATAGTGCTGTTATAGATAATTCATATGTCAAACATGTTCAACAAGATGCGCCATCAGTTCAATTGGAAAAACAACCTAGCAATTCTCATAACATCATCGATGAAATTGTAAATACAAATGATGCGAAGCTCTTAGCTAACGTATATAGTAATAATTCTCAAGAAAATGATAACGAAAATACAGAAAAGAAGATGTTAAAGTATATCTCCCGTGTAACTAAGCAAGACTTTTTAGATGTTGTATTTAATTCCGATATTGATACTTATATAGAAGAAAAAAGTCAATGGTTAAAAGGATACACTAATAGTTTGGAATCTATTTTGGATGACATTTTGACGATGCATAAACAAGGAGACGTAAACTCAATGGACTGTTATTGAACGAATAAAACCTTATCTCACAAGTGCCTTTATAAATTGTATAAATTGTACAAAAGTAAGCATTGATTTCTTTTTTTGAGATCGATGATTCTCTTCAGTATAAAATTTGTATGATAAAAATGATAACCAAATGCTATATATATAATCTGTTTATATGAAAATTTAAATTTCGTTATAATATATAATATATCCATTGAACAAAAAGTAGAATACACAATTTTTTGTATGAACTTATTATTTTTAAGATTTTTTGTAATATTGATTACATTGTAAAAGTATCATCAATAGCCATAATTCTTATTCCAGAGAATAAAATACTTGTACAAAGACATCTTTGATTATCATTACAGTTATAATTATGCAATTTGCAATTTCCTAAATTATACGATATCGCTTATTTGTTAACTTGAATTTGTCTACTTCCTTTTTCACTTATCTATCATATTCCACTAATATTTGGTTTATATTAAAAATATATATAGATATTTTACTTTGACGTATTTATTAAAAGTTAATACCATCTAATTCTCGTATAAGTCGCAAAGTGATTTCTAATGTATCGACATTATTATGCCATTTCGCATGTGATGCGTTAGGATCCACCTCATGAGGCGTTGGAAGATGTAACTTGTATCTGTAAAAACGTTGCTTAATAATTAATAATTAAAATATTTGAATCGTTTTTTTAAAAAATATAGTACATACAATAACAATTATTAAATCCAATAAGAATAAATATATATTGTTTGAATCAGGGCTTCTCAAAATAATATAGGTCGCGACCCTATATGAAATCATTAAGCAGAAAATTTCGAAAAGTTCTGATTAAAATTAAAAAAAAAAAAGATATTATTTACTCACTTAGGACTACGCACGTCAATTACATTTGGTTCAACGGATAATTCAATTTTTTCTTGAACTTCTTGAGGGAGTTTTATTAAAACGGTAATCCACTCGCAAGATGCGGTGCCTGTTGTTTTAAAACCCATCTAAGTAAAAAACGCAACATTTAATATTATCAATGTTATCAAAAATATTTTTTCTACAAAATGAAATAGCGTATTAATAAACGAACATTTAAAAAAATATCTTCGGTCTTCACTGATTGCTTAAATTTGATTTCATATTCCGGTACTTTTCTTGGATCATTTATTTCTAAATTAGAATGAGCTGATACTTCTGAAGAATGCCAAATATCATCATCTTTTTTTTTAATAGGATTATGCGGCTTTATACAATCCAAAGGAACTTCTTTTTGAACTTTAATATCACCTGGACCTGAAAATGCAATCAATTAATGTAATGAAATCTTTTTAATTATAAATAAAATATCAATATCTTATTGTTAGAAGATATGTGATGAAATTTTAATTATTCAAAACTACTTCTATTACAAAATATATTGGTACGATTGATTTCTTTATCTGATATTGGTAACTATGATTGCGAAACATTTTTTGATTTATGCCTCGGTAATTAATTTAATATTTTATGAAATTGATTCTATATAATTTATTTTACATTAAAATTATTTCTATTATATAAAATAAATAATAAAATATCAATTAAAAAGATTCCTTTAATTAATCCCTCATCATAGTTACCAGCACATGTAAAATATAATGAATTAAACATTCAGATCTTAAAAGGACAAAAATAATTATTTAATATAAATATTGTTAAAAAAATGTTAATTTATATAAAACACTTTGATTAAAATTTTTCTTTTATATTTATACATGTTTATATAATGAATTCATTGTTGTAACAATAATAATTCACCTTTTCTTTTAACGTCATTTTGATACAATTCTTCGAAATCCGAATCTTCTTTCGAAGGATTTAATAAATTTTGCAATGCTTGTAATTCTTTGTATCCAAAATAACTATCCATTATTCTTAATAATTAATTCCTTTTTACAGGTCAATTATCAACAAAATTGACTGTCATGACAACAAATTCTGCGGTATCCTAAATTGAATAAACGGCGCGTAAATTAAAATTTTCTTAAAAATAATCGATTTAACTAATCGAATATAAAATGTAATATTCGTGTAATTTATATAAATATATGAAATAACTGTCGTTTGATTTATTATATTTATTTAACGAATATTTAAAAATCCTATTCAATTATATTTTAAATAGATCTTATAAAAAGACAAAAGTGATGTACAAATATTCAGTTCCGCCAACATCTATTTGGAAATATTGTAGGAAAGACTTTTTACGATGGCTGATGTAACGGAAGAAAAGTTAACCAAGAAGTAAGTAAATTAATTAATAATCGTTTTAATATTCTTTTGCGTATTTTTTAATAAAGGTTTCATTAAAATATGTAATATTACTTAGTCTTGTTCGTTAATGTTGTTTGATTTTAATGTGTTAGTGATCGGTCGTTTGCATAGACCGGCCACGTTGCTTTATGAACAGTTGGCTAGTTTGATATGCTATTTTTCCTCATAAAAAGTAGTTTTAACTTCATGAAAAATTTAAAATCCAATGTTTTTATTGTAGATGCACATGTATATGTAAGATAAGAAGACGTATAGTGATAATTTAGTAATTATGTTAACTAATCTAACTAAAATTTTAACTTGCATTGATCAATCTGTTAAAATATTCACTAAATTGCATATCAATCAAATAGAACAAAAATTGTATCGAACTATTTCAAGACAATTTTTTACAACGTGTGTAATTTTTATGAATAATTCTTCCTCGTAATAATACAAAGGAACAATTAATTTTATATACATCGCTTTATGCATTACTTTTAGGGAATTAAAGATGCGTCTTAAGGCGGAACAAAAATTGAATGAAAAGGCAGTTAAGGAAGTACAAAGAACAGCTAAAGAAGTACAAAATGCACAAACTAAAAAGAACTCTGTTAAAACTCCAGAGAAAAGGGCTGCTAAGGAAGAAGAAATCAGTCCAAATGTAAATAATATTTCCTAATGCGCTGATATACTAAATGTATCTTTATTTTCGCATTTATTTCATATTTGATTTTAATTCGTAGGAATATTTCAAGCTGAGAACTCAAGCGGTAGAACAACTCAAAGTTGCTAATGAAAATCCTTATCCGCATAAATTTAATGTATCCATTTCATTAGAAAATTTTATTGACAAGTATAGTTCGGTTATTAAGGAAGGAGAAATCCTTGAGAATAAAATTTATAGCGTTGCTGGTCGTGTGCACGCAATACGAGAGTCTGGTGCAAAACTTATTTTCTATGATTTGAGAGGAGAAGGTGTTAAAATACAAGTAATGGCAAATGCTAGACATTATGAAGGGGAAGATAAATTTATCAAGGACACGTCTAAAATTAGGAGAGGGGACATCATCGGTGTTACTGGAAATCCTGGTAAAACCAAAAAAGGAGAATTTTCTATCATGCCTAAAAGTATTACTCTGCTTACTCCTTGTTTGCATATGTTGCCACATCTTCATTTTGGATTAAAGGATAAGGTAAATATTTTGAAATACTAGTAAATACTTAAATAACACACTAATAATAAACTTGAACGTTATTAGGAAACAAGGTTCCGTCAACGTTATTTAGATCTTATATTAAACGACAAAGTACGGCAAATATTTTACACTAGATCAAAAATCATTGCATATGTGCGTGAATTTTTGAACGAATTAGGCTTCTTAGAAGTTGAAACTCCTATGATGAGTATGATAGCTGGTGGTGCTACAGCCAAACCTTTTGTTACTCATCATAACGAATTAAACATGGATTTGTATATGCGAATAGCTCCGGAACTTTATCTCAAGGTACGATACTAACATACTTTTAGGTACAATTTTTACATGGTTATAAATAAATAAACTTTTATATATTATTATTATAATATAGACTCTGGTTGTTGGCGGTATAGATAGAGTATATGAAATTGGTAGACAGTTTCGAAACGAAGGCATTGACCTGACTCATAATCCTGAATTTACAACGTGTGAATTTTATATGGCTTATGCTGACTATAACGATCTCATGCATATTACGGAAGATATGATTTCTGGAATGGTGAAAACTATTCACGGTAGTTACAAAATACCATACTGTCCAAATGGACCTGATGGTGAAGTTGTAGAAATAGATTTTACACCACCATTTAAACGGATATCTATGATGAAAACTTTAGAGGAAGTTTTGAATGTTAAATTACCGGATGCTGACAAACTTGATACACAGGAAGCTAATGAAATGCTTAAGAATCTTTGCGCTAAATACGAGATCGAGTGTCCTCCTCCAAAAACAACTGCCAGGTTATTAGATAAAGTATGCATTTTTATTGTTATAAAAAAATATCAATTTACATATAGCAAATGTTTTATTTAATTGTAATATTTCTAATATTGGCAGCTCGTCGGTGAATTTATAGAAGAAAAATGTATAAATCCCACTTACATAATAGATCATCCGCAAATAATGTCTCCTTTAGCTAAATGGCACCGTTCTGATGCTGGTCTTACAGAACGATTTGAGTTATTTATTATGAAGAAGGAAGTCTGTAATGCATATACAGAATTAAATGATCCTGTAGTACAAAAAGAAAGGTATTTATTTTTTTCTTTTCTTTCTTTTTAATTAAAGTACTTGTATTGAATTTTCTGGTTGTTTAATTTTTTACAGATTCGAACAGCAAGCGAAAGATAAAGCGGCTGGAGACGACGAAGCACAAATGGTAGACGAGAATTTCTGCACTGCCTTAGAATACGGATTACCTCCAACCGCTGGTTGGGGAATGGGTATAGATCGGCTTTGCATGTTTTTGACAAATACGAATAATATTAAAGTAAGTATTTGTATGATATAATCTCAGTTAAAGTAATATAAATCGCTACATGATTGAATTTGAATTGAATATTAACATTATATTTTTAGGATTTTTTTATTATTAACATATATATTTTTTAGGAGGTATTACTGTTTCCAGCCATGAAGCCGGATGAACCAAATAAAAATAAATCTACTGAAAATACATCCGATGACAATGTTAAAGAACAGTGTGAAAAATAATGGTAAAGCTTATATTTTATACTAACATACGGAAGATCTAATAAAATATTAAAGTTATTATTATTACTCTAATTAAATAAATTAATGTCGTCATAAGGGCCGATAATCATCCACATCTTGTATATTATTTATTTCACATGAAAACACACGCTGATACATACATCGATATTTACAAGATTTCAATAATATACTAAGTATGATCATATTATCTATTATTTATATAATATATGCATTCTATGGCAGAGAGAGAGATAGAAATAGAGGAAGTGAGAGAAAAAGAGACAATATACATTTGATTTTGACTTAAATCCTAAGATTTTTAAAAGAGAACGATTCACCAAATCGTAAATATAAAATCATTATTGTAAAAGTCAAGTACTAGACTGCAAGATATATTCAATAATTGGCAGTACATTCGTATTGTTATTAATCAATACGAAATTTACACAATAAAAAATTGTGTAAAAGTAAATTGAATATAAAGTATGGAAGTAAAAATTGACAAAGATTTTTCGCTGATTTACTGTATTTTATAAAAAATATTAATTATATACTCAACGAAATACGTCCTCCCATGTTGGCATTGTTGTCTTTTTGTTATCCTATTGATAATATATCACTTCTATATTTTTATATGTATTATTGCAGATTTTATATAAATCTATCCTCTTTCTAAAATGTTCTGAATACGAATAATTTGGTCAAAGAGTTAATTCTTTTTTTAGTACATGAACTTTTATGCGAAATATTTGAATATTTCTAATACATATGAAGAATAATAAATACCTAGTTTAGAACACCGTTGATATGTATACTGCATTTAAGTAATAATATTTCTACAACACCATAATTGTTCTTTTGTAAATTGCAATAATTCTTTGATTTATATTTTTTGAAGTATTCTTAATATCTAAATTTTATCAAATCAGTAAATACTATAATTTTATTTAACGTAAAACAAGTTTGTTTTTTAATGGTTGTATAAGCAAAATAAAAAACTAGTTGATTAATTCATTATTATTAATTAATTTTGTTTGTTTTGTATAATTCTCAAATAATAATAATAATAATAATAATAATAATAATAATAATAATAATAATAATAATAATAATAATAATAATGAAATAATAAAAAATTGACAACCAGAATTATTTTGATTGCTACATTAAATCTATAAAATACCAGTCTAACGATAGTATTCACACGATTTGAAAAAATTTGATACCAGATGCTATTATTTCAGTGTATGTACTTATTGATTTAAACGTATTTAATAAATCTGATGTACATAAAATTAAATCAGAATTATTTTTTACGTTATAGAATAAGTCCACGGCTGCATTTTAAAATGAACGTTCTTTTAGTATAATAAAATGTACGATCAGCTTTCATCTGCTTTGAGAAATTTAGTAACTGAATTATAATGAGCACCTAATTCATACATGTAACGATGATAAGTTAATATTATTCTTTTTCTCTTACTGAATTCATCTCCGACAATGTAGGGAGTACCTGTCGCTTGGATGACCTCAATTTGACGTTCCAAAATACGCGACAATACTTGCAACTGCATTAGACACATTTAAAATAATTACAAATGTTATATTTATATACAAAAATATAAGTACGATATTTTTTACAAAAAACTTATTACAAGATTTACCTCAATTGCACCACCCCAAGCGCAAGTTTCAGCAATGTCGTTACAATATTTTTCATACTGCTCAGGAGACAATAACTGGTCAGAATCTGGATTAGAAATAAATGGAAGGAAATCATCTCTATTTTGTCTTAAATATATGGCAGTTTTCATTCTTAAATCGTTTAGACTCAATGGAATTTCTCCAATCATTTTAAGTTGATGTGCAACCGCATTATATAAACTAAAACAAAAAAACAAATGATAGTTTTTGTTACAAAAACATACAAATTATTGTTCAACGTACCAATGACCATCACTTGGAATTTCATATAACATTAAATCACGTTCATAAAGAATTTTTTTAATTGATTGTATCTCAACATTTCTCTTTCCATAGATGTTAAATGCTTCCTGTTCTATAATTCTTTGATTACGTTCTCTCTCTGCGTTCTCTTTTTTACATCTTCTTCGTTGAGCTTTAGAAACTCTCTGTTGTACTTTTTCTGATTCTTTAGATTTTACGTCGTTATTTTTATCAGACGTTTCTTTTAAATTCTCTGCGTCGGTATCATTCAACGTTACTTGGAATATTTTCCATCTGGCTAATTCCTCGTCTTGTTTCTTTTCTAAATCTTCTTCCTTGCGTGCTATTTCATCAGCAACTTCTTTTTTCTTTTTTTTATCACCCTTACAGATTGATTTCTTCAGTACTTGTATTTGTGCTGCAATAAATATAATAAACACAATGTTTATGTGTTACAGTTTTTGTTTAATTAATTTTAAGAGAAATATAATCATATAAAATATTGATATATTTTTCTTGCAACGTGAAGGCAATAGTAAATTAATGTTAATGAAAGAGTATTAAATTACTAAAAACTACCTTGTAATTCTTTACGTTCTCGTTTATGTTTCTGTAACAATTCATCTTCGGAAACTAATAACTCATCCATTTCTTTTATATAAATATAAATATATTCAAGTAATATTTAATTTTGTTATTCTTCTATTTTTCGACGTTTGATATTAATCTTGTTAAAGATCTAAATTATATTAAAATTATCATTAAGAACTAGTGACATAACCTATTTGATAAGTCCAAGTTAATAAATGTATCATTTGTTTTTGCACGTCGTATATTGTTTATATTCTTCAACATAGAAAGAGATAATTCGAAATTATTATCTTTCATTGAAATTTGATTTTAAGAGAAGATAAAAAAATTAAAAATTTTTAAAATCGAAATAGAAAAAGTGTAATATGACATGAAATACATGAAAAAAGCACGTTTAGTTAAATGTAGAGACCCTATAGGAGGGACGCGCCATGTAGATTGCTGGGGGACAGGAACTTGTGTAGTCACGTGATTGCGCGCGAAATATTCAAACATTGAAATAATTATGAAATAATGAATTGCATTAAATACAGAAAAAAATGAACTATATTTAATGATAATTAAAAATTTATATTAAAATAGAATAGGTTACACGAAAAAATTATTATAAATTCAATAAGAAAGATTCAATTAAGTTTGATTTGATAAAAGGCAATAAGTCTGTAAAAAAACGATAAGTTATAGGTTAGGTTTGTACATTTATACTTGTAACTATTAAATGAGTAAATTAAACTTACATTTATAGAAAACTACTAAAAAACAAAACAAAATAATTAAACATAAATATCACAATAAAAACTAGAAGTATTCCAAACTTAATCTAGGGATCCTACAGGATCCCTAGTTAAATGTGTCGTGTAGCGCCATCTTTTCCTGCCAGCAATTTACTTTTAAAAATATAATAAATGCATCAATAATTGCATTAAATAATATGTAATGTAAAGTATAAGAAATTTCACGAAATCGAAAGTATATAGTTTACTATTTTTTTTATCATTTTAAAATATCATTTTCAATGTAAGAACGTACATACAAATACATACTTATAGAAGATAAGAAAAGTATTTTTTCTTATAGAATAAAAGTATATTTTATACATAAAGAATAAATGAAAAATATAAAAAAATAAATTTTAACATAAGGTTTCTTAAATATATGATTACTTAAGTACATGCGCACGTGTGTACATATAAATACTCATTAAAAGTATATTGTAAATTACCATTTCTCAACCAAAACCGTTAAATTTTTCAGAAATACTATCTTAACTGAAAATTAATTAAACGTCACATGTATAGTATGATATCTGTTCGAGTATAGCGGATCGTCAAGTGATTTAAACAAAAGGGTTGAGAAATGTTATTATAAACATTTGCATTGTTCACGTGTACTTTTTTGATTAATTAATTAAATTGATTAATGTAATATAAAAATTATTGACGGTCTTTCGATAAATTAAGCGACGTATCATTTATATCACCGATTTGAGGTTGCTGTTTTTTATGCAAATTGGTCATATCAAGCATACCACCAAAATCAGATTTAATACTGGAAGAATTGGATAGATCTTCAGTTCCTTGATATTCGTTTGATCGAACAAGTTTATTATCATTTTGAATGTCTAATTTCTTCCCACTGGAATAATCCTCCGCACTGATAGAAACATTTTTTCCAAGATCTACGTTTCCTGATGTAGGTTTAAATGGCGATTGAGTCACTTCGCCGATTGAAAATTCACTTATTTTACGTTCTGTACCATCTGTCTCTCTCGCGGGTGAAACTTTACCAAAAGGGCCGAATAAATTAGCTATGTTTCTCATATATGTCGATGGCGAGGGCGAAGATGTTCTTGAAAAATCTGGTATCGGAAAACTGGACAACTTTGCTAAATCGGCGGCAGAAAAATTCGCTAATTTCGTAAAATCTTGAAACTTAGTTATCTGGTGTGTTATATCCGTTAAAGGAAAATCAGGTGTAGTTGAGGCCCGAGTTTTATTACCCGTAATATCCGTTCCCACAGGATTGGGTAATTTTGAAAAATCTGTTGGTGCAAAATCATAATCGCATTTTGTGTTCTTCACTGATACCGTTAATTCACCCGATTGAAAACTTCGAATCATTTCTGGTGGTGACATATGTTTAGGCACACCAGTATTTGCATCTTTTATCTGTGTTATGGATGCTGTGTCTGTTCCAGTAGCACTATCTTTTCTGACATTGTCTCTAGAAGTAGACGGTTGCATGACAAATGGTTTAGATGTAGGTGTAATTATCGCACTATCCGGCTTAAAATTAACAGGTGCTAGAAAGACTGCTGCGTTGTAAGTTGGAAGATTAACACCAGGTGGGACTGAAGGAACAAGAGACTCGGATACTGGTACAAGTGGAAATTTAACGGCAAGAAATTCCGGTGTATTCCCATCTTTTGAACCAGGGCAAATCATTTCTCTGATTACATCCCAGTAAGATCCATTAGCACGATTACGTCCAGGTAGTTTGGATGCTAAAGAACACTGCGTAATAAAAATATAAATATCTGTATTTATATTTTTCTCTGTATTCTCTGTATTCTTAAGGTTTTATATTAATTGTAGAACACTATTTTATATAAAAAAAATACTTACTCTTAAACGTTCTAGGTAGGTAGTATTGTTATTAAAATTAGCAGTAAAATCAATACCTCCTTCGCTCCTATAATATTCTATGCATCGTCTCTGAAAATAAATATATTATAAATAAAATAATATATTATCGATTATAATATGTTCTTTTAATCATAGATAATATAGCTTACTATTTCTTCTAATGTATCCTGAGCAAGAAAATGTTCTTGAGATAAAGTATAGCTAAGAAGCATAGGGCGTGGATATTCATGAGGTCGATTTTCAGGAGGTGGCAATGACCAAAAGACGTTAAAATTTGATTCATAGCAATTACCATCCATGTTGTAAGGAGCTATAATTATATTAAGAATTGATGTTTAAATTCTTTAAAATACATTTGATATTGGCTTAGAAAGTGAGGAAAAATGAAACTCACAGCATATTAAACCGACACAAGGCATATAACTGTTATCACTAGGTCCTTTCATTTTAATTTGATAATCTAATTGAGCGTCAACATCTCTGAGAGATGGTGAAGCGTGTGATCTGGGATGAGAGTGATACCAACCAACAAGAGTTACATGCTTCCATTCCATGGCTTTTGCAATTTCTGCTTCTACAGCAGCTGCAGCTGATTTATCTTTGCCAGAATATCGACATGGAAATGCGCATGTTATGGATAGATCTGCATCAATAAGTAATATTATTTTGTATGTATTACCATTTAGCATGAAATAAAACTTATTTATCAACATATAAAATATACCTACTATGCGAATTAATATCCCAATGTCCACCCAAATATCCACATATTTCTTTGTCAGTTAAATGACAATGTAAATCAACTAATAATGCAGCAGTGGTTGTGATAGTAACTAAAAAGGGTTGTATTTTTCCAAGCGTACTGAATGATGTCAACTCGACCATTGTACTCATGTCCCTAAAAGAAATATTAAATATTAAAAACATTATATTAAATATGCAACCTGTAATTACAATATAGATATGATATTTATATTTTGTTAAGGAACAAAAATAATTGATGCATACGTACATCGCATGACTACGTATTCCAAGATTGGCATGTTTCACGGGTACTCTGACTACTTGTAACGGAGCATTGACCTGAGCCTTTTCGTGTCTCTCTTCTATAATTTCTCCAGATGTTTGTATTATTTCTGTTGTTTGCGACATTTTTTAGTATCCAAAATGTATTAAAATCAATAAAAAAACTAATGTCAATGAAACGTTCACAAGACTCGTGTCTTTGTCATCTTGTTAATCTATTTCTTGGAAACGTTCATGCTGCCCCAGACTCCTTTACAAACATAGTAAACAAAATTATAATTACTAACATTACCATAATTTTGAACAAAATGATAAGAATCGAAATACACTATACTAACATAGTAATCTAAGATATAAGTGACAGTTTGCGAGAATAATACTTCATGATTACCGACTTGATTTGGTATAATTTTTTCATTTCTTACAAAATGATTAAAATCTTGTAAACAGACAGTGCTTTAATTTATACATTATAAAAACAAATATAAACGTAAAGCTGAACAAAAATTTTGCTACCGTTGGAAAAACATAGGCTCCTGTATATTTCCATAATAAATTAAATATAATGGTGTTATAAATATTTTCTACTAGGGTGCTACCTAGTAAATGAAACAAAAATAAATAATACAATAAACATTACCTGCATTTAAAAGAAAAAGCAACTTAAATGAATCCTGTCAATAATGTACGACTTCTATCGAAAGTATTTATTTTATTTGCAAAGCTGTTTTGTTGTGAAAACATAATTATTATTTATTCATGTATTATTTTTTTAGAAGTTAGATGTGCATAATGTGTAGTTTATAGTTTAAAAAGCTTGATACCTTGCAATTGCATAAGTGCTTACACTGCAGCACCTTGTATAATAAGAATAAACTCTATTGAAATAAACAACATACAAACATACAGTTGCACATATTAACCACATATAAGTATATATAAATGTCAGGCGTGACAACTTATGACAGCTAGTAGAGTTCTATAGTAAATGCTTTGAGTTATTCTTCTCTACGATATCAGTCAGAATATCGATAAGATTACGAGATATCGATATTGCTTTGAGTTGCTGCAGCGCGTGCCGCTACTTGCAACGAGATGAAACTGACTATTCGTTAATCCGTACAAGTAAGATTTATTCATTTTAATACAGAGAACTGAGAAGTTAACATAACCAATTAATTTAATATTAAACTATAAACATTGTTAAGGTGTTGACATTTTTCTGACTGATTATTTAACGTATTTTATATTTATTTGGTTTAAATATTTATATTTATTCGTGTGTTTTATATTTAAATTTAATATCTTATTTACTTGTTTTAATTTATAGGTTTTCCTCTTCATTTAATATCAAACTCATTAGTCTTTAATAAAAGTTAATTAATATGAACATGGCGGATTTAAACACGTATGTTTATATTTTATCGATATATATATATATATATACTCCTTGAAAAATAATTTTTACATATATACGTATATCTAAAATTAATTTATGTTTAATGGAATGTTACATATGCAGCCTTGCAATTGAAGCTCTACTCAATGAAGCAAAACTTGGTGCGCAAAGAGCTGAAATAATGGGACCATCAGGATGGGTAAAACCTAGAGAGACAATTAATAAAAGATTTCTTCATTCTACAATACGTAATGTAGTTATTTCCAACGAACACAAAACAGCGAAGAAAAATAAAGTATTACAAAGTCAAATATCTAAAGAAGATAAAAATCCGAAAAAATAATAATTGCATGTTATTACATTTATACATATCCGATGTATTCTCATATCTGTCATATTTTTTTGATTCATTAGTTATGTGATTATAATAAGAAAATTGAATTTATATAATATATTATTTATCTAATTTATTATGCTGTATATATATAAATATTACAAGTGTTTGCCATATTACATATTTTTGTGTAAATATCAATGAAAGATAATATATGACTACGCGTAAACGAAAATGATAAAAAGAAAACGTTAAATTATGTTGCATTCATAAATGTATAGAATAAAGTTTTTTATTATTTAAAATAGAGCGTAAATGTCATTTATTCGTATTATATATTAAATAATACTTTTATTTAAAGTTTAAAGATTGCAAAAACACAATATGTAATTATTTGTCAAGATTTATACAATTTACAAAGATGTTAAATATCTAGTAACGTATAATCGTAAAGATTTATATTTAATTAGATACATATGAATGATTAAAGAAAAATTTGTTAACTAAAACTATAATAAAAAGTGAATAATAATTGCATTGACAAACGTTGAAATATTTTTAATTAAGAGCACCAGTACCTCTAACAATACCTTTAACAAACATGTATTAAAGAAAATATATATAATAACATTATTTTTCTAGTATAAAATAAAATGAAATATTATAAAATTTTGCATTGATAGGTTGCAGATATTAGTTTATGGCATTCTTAAATATATTTAATTATACTAAAAGTTGATATGATCACATAATATTTTAGGCATTCATATTGTTTTTTTGTGTGTGAACAATAAATATTATAGAGTCCTCAATCAAGATACAAATAATTAAAAGTTAAGTTTGAATAGTATTCGATGCATTAAAGACAGTCACGTATTGGTAAATTGAAATATTTAATGTGATTAAATATGAAAATAAAAGATTAAATATTTTATGGTTTCAAAATAAATGTGATTGGATTATTTATCATTTTGTCGTTTAAATGTATTGTACAAATTTTAATGTTTAGCACATGCATTTAAGCATTTTGATGATGTTATGTTTTAAAATTCTGTATAAAAAAATTGCCCATAGAAAAATTAAAATGTTGTTTTGTATCATTGATATGAACAAATAACAATTAAAGATATATAAAAATATATATCAAAATATAATAAATCTTTGATCGAAAAGAAAAATAAATTCTTTTCTTTTTATACAAATGCCCTATTATATAATTAGCTCGTAACAGTTACTCGTATAAAAATAATAAAGAGTATAACTTTGCAGTGTGAGCTCTTTAAAATATTAGGAATTAAATTTTGATATACTTTGTAACAGTTTTTGATGTGTGCTTCATAGCCTTTTGACGCACTAATAAATAGATTCCTTATGTAGAACCATTCTTGTGCTGTTGAGCTTTCTTCCTCTCCAAAAGCAATGTTTTCATATCGGCAAATGCCTTTTCTATTTGTCGTGCAAATCTAGCCGCATCCTATTCAAAATTTATAACACGATATAATGATTAATTTAAAAAATAAATTTTTTACCAGTTCATTCATGTCTGTTTGGTAATTTAATATTTGATTATAATACATTACCGTTACTAATGAGCTACGTTTACTAGAAATATGAAAGAATATAACGTCTTCTCCAGCAATAATGTAAGAAACCCCATAACCATCATCGGCAACAGGTCCAAATCCACCACCAGCAGAAATACAATTGGGAAATTTCTTCAAATCTAATTTGGAAGTTTGACCATGCGGAGTTTGAGATGTAGATAATCGCCATGGTTCACTTAAGACTTCCTAAATAATTTTTTGTTCATTTTACCGCTATATTCTTTTAATATAATTTCATATTGTTATCGAAATATTTTATAAATCAAATACCTTCAAAAATGGAGAATCTACTTCAAGATATTTTGACACTACGTATAAACAGAAAAGATGTCTATCTATACCCTTGCCACACATAGCATCCTGACAATTTTTTTGATGCTGTTGTCCTGCTGCTTGTAATAATTTAAACTTTTCATCTAGCTGTAATATAAATGCAGTTGTTGTTCTGTTTCTTTTATTTTTGTTTTCAAGTAGATAACGATAAGACTTAATTATATTTATCTTACAGTTGCATTTTTATCTTCCATGGATTTGACCCATGCAGCGGATTCAATGGTACACGGTCTAACGGTTTCTGTTCTACCTTCGCGAAATAATCTTGTCATGGAAGCCTCGTAAGTGAGATTGAATTTTCCAGCATCACGATAATACGCTAATTGTAATGCCATTTGTATGTATGCATCTGGCGACATTGAGCTAGCTTTCATAAAACCTTTACCATAATTGTCATGAACATAAATACGCAATTCAATGTCATTTATTAATTTCTGTACAATCTATAAATAAAAATGAGTAATCAATAATTTCTTATATGCATGATTAGATGCGTTTGTACGTGTTTATTATTGATTGAATACCTCGTTAGAATGATTTATAGATTCTATACATTTAGAAGACAAATCCCATTGGAGTCGGGTAGGAATTGGTGGTATAAATTCTGGAGTACCTGCGTTGGTTCCATCTGGTTTATATCTGATAAATAAATAACAGTTTCAATTAAGGAGTATTATTTAAATATAATTATTTTACAACCTACAAATTAAAGCAATTTCTTTCAGTACAGTAATAATACAAATTACACATTTAAAGGAGATAAGAAATAGATGATTATTAGGTTATTTGTTAGTCATACACATTTATCAAATACTTCAAAAACGTTAACAAAGCACAATAAATAAATGGGGACCGTTAGTGGTGTTATTTTTAATATTTAACATAAATAAAATCCAAACATAGAAAAAGAATTACCCTATCTCCAAAGTACTAGCAATAACATATTCCCAGAGAGATCCCATTACAGGTGCATCAGCCCTAAGAAGTAGAAGTTAAAAATATGTATAAATAAATTAATATATATTTTTTAGATTGTTCTTTTACTGTCAAGTAATCATCAGTGATTCTTTAGAGATCGAAACAAAGAAATAATAAAATATTTATAGTTCTTCCAATTTTTTATGTTAACAAATTCTACAGAATTTTTTACCAAATTCAATCATTTGAATATTTTTTTTATACTTTTGATAGTATCAACGAATGATAAATGTAAAATTATTTTATTCCAAAGGGAGGATATTCTGTATTGTCTTAATTTTTTATTATATATTCTTTTTTAATACTTTGTAATATTATTAAAAGTAATAGAGATATTTCAAGTATATAAGTTAGGTGAAATATTTTTGATAATATTTGTATCAAACAAGATTCGTTTGATATTATTTTGTGAACAAAGATAAACACTAAAATATAAAAAATAAGTTTTATACAAAGCAAAAAGTATCACCAACACCTAATAAAATTTTACCAGCACCTAATAAAGTATTACCAGCACCTAATAAACATTTTATGCTAAGCAATGAAAAAGAAAGTAATACAGATATAAAACATTTATAAACCATTCAGTTCTAATTAAAGTTCTTACTCTCGGTGGGCTTCTTCGTATATTAACAATTCCCAGAAATGTGCCATCACCGCAGCATCTGCCCTGCAGTACTTATTGTTTACACATCTCAGAATAACATTTACTAAAGTAAATATATAATTTGATAAATATTCATGCAATCGCAGGATAATATTATTTCTGGATTGCACAAAGATTCTTATATTAAATTAAATTATTATCAATTTGATCTGTGAAACTCATTAGACAAAATAATTTGTCTGCATTAAATTATAATAATAAAAGAGAAAATGTGAAATCAAAGACTGAAGAAACGTTATATGAGGAATAAATAATAATAAACAAAGTAAAAGTATAAAAAATGAGTAAACTATTATTTATGTTTCAATCTCCTCATCGTCATTGGGACACGAACAGTTTGTCACGTAATCATTATTCGTGCCTGATGTATTTTTTTACATAAAAAAACAACTTACCAAGAATGTTCTGCGTTAAAGCCGATCTGTAAAATATATAATCAAACAGTTAAAATAGATATTCTTACGATTTTACGACTTTACAATTTTTTTTAGCAAAATTGTATCTCTTACCCTTCCATTACTTCCAATGCATAAAGTAAAAGACTTGTCGAACCACCTATCGTAGCCTTTGCCGTGTAACAAAATTTGACCATAATTATCTAATTTTTCAGGATGTTCCTAGAAATAGAATATCATTGTATTAACATTTAATTAAAAAGATATTTGAAATGCTTATCTTTAATGAAATTATTGTTACTCACAGTGTCGTATTCATATGGAATATCATCTAAGGTAACAAAGAATGCTGCTTTTTCAATTATATCTAAAGAAATTTTATTTACTCCTTTCGAAAAATATTCATTTCTGGCTTCTGCCCAAGGTTTTCTTTCTCCAGCTGTTAATGCAGCTAGTTTATCTTCGCTTTCTGCTGGTTCAGATTTGTCCATTAAAATTTGTTGAATTTGCCTAAAGACAATGAACATTTATCAATTGTAATGAATTTCGATTGGAACAAAATGTAAATAAAAATAAATAATATAATCTAATTATTTGAATATAAAAGGCCCTTACAATTCTATTTCGCAAGGTAAAAGGATTCTATTTTTGTAATAAATAAGAACTTTGAAATATTTTCCTTTGTGATATACAACTATGTGCTTGGAGTCTTGATAATGAATTATTTTGTCTGTTTCAATACCAGGTATTCTCGTAGTATTAAATAATCTTTCATATTGCCAGGAACATAAAGGAATAATACCTTGCAATAAAATCTAGAAAAAAAAAACAAAACAAACCAAAATATAATAATCTCGAATGACATGTAATATCTTAAATATAAAACATGAGAATTTTTTCAAATTATAATATCGTACTAACCGGTTCGAGTTGTTGACGTTCGATTAGCCGCCTATATTGCAAGCAAAAATGAATAGTACTAGCAGCACGTGCAGCTTGATTTGTAGTAGGATGCATGAGAATAGCATCTATTCCATAAAAATTAGAATTTATAACGAGCGGTGATCTACCTCGAAGGTAAACATATTCTTCCCACCAATCGGATACGTAATTGGTAGACCACCAAGATTTAAGTATTAAGTATCGTTGAAGTTTCACGCCTATACCATTTTGAAATTCTTTAGCCAATCTCTCCATACGAGTATAATTATCATCGTCCAATAGTGGTTTGACACTACGGAGGTACTGTTAAGAAAAATAAATAATATATTAATTTTACCGCATACGAATAATAATTTATAATTATCTAAGAAATCGTCTAAAAAGCTTTTATGAATTCATCTTGATAAGAGTCTTTTTCTTTTATTTTGATTTTATTTTTTCCCTAAAACTGTTCTCGTTCGAATTGTCAATTCGAGACAATCTTTTTCCTACGTCATTCATTATTTAACATTTTTTAATAGATAGCATGAAAGGAAAAAAGCATAAAATCATCTAACCCGTCTCATAGTATCCTCTACCGAAGGAAGAGGTAATCGAGGCAGCGAACCTTGAAAGCTATAAAGCATAGGCTTGTGCCAACCAGAAAGAAGTTTTACGAGTATGAGCCATATCTGAGTCATTCTGGAAGGTTTTTTATTTTTCCCTCTTAACTCGTACATCCAGCCCTTATAAATCAGAAGCAACTTCAATATGTATCGTAAGATGTATATAACGATCAACCATAAAAGTACGCTAATTACAAACGAACCAGCGATGTGTGCGAGTATAGAAGACCTAAAACACGAAAGATCAAAAGTAAAAAGAAAACAAATCAACGAAGTAGAATATTATTATTTCTTGTAACATTAATAATTAAATGAAAATAATGAAATTTACCCGGAAATATATGGTGCAACTTTACCAACGAGATCGTAAGGAACTTTGTATCCAGCGAAATGAATCGCGGTAACAATAATAACGGTGAGCCATAAGCTTCCCAATGACGCGGGATATACACCACTCTTCAAGTTATTCTAAAATGTGTAAAAAGAAATCAAATTAATATCTATTTAATATTATAGAGCATTTTTTCTACATCGACTTACCATAAATCTAAAGAATCTCTTTTTCCAAGATCGTACACCTGACAACCAAACGAGATTTAATACCTCTCGGTCAAAGTTCACGTCCCAACCTTCATGGGTGATGGAAAAACTGAATGCGACGGCTGAATGAGCTTCCGCCATTTTGGTATCACCTTTCTACGCTTCTAAAAAGGAATAAAATCTTTTTAAATGAATGGACACCAATAACAAAAACAACAACAAAGAAATGACGCGTTTCCGTCGACGAAAGGCTAATATACCGAGGTAAATTATCGGTCACATCCTTGCGCGGTAAAAGCTCATTGCGACGAAATTGCACCATCGAGAGGATGAAGATGCAACAGGGTGAATGGAGACGAAGCAGTTGACCTTAGTTAAAGTCGCAATTATCCGTGGATCTGACACGATAGCGATTATAATATATGTATACGTGTTACGTGGTGTGCGTGTCGAATAATGTGCGCGAGTGCATCCGTGAGGAGGATTGCACAACAAAAGTTAGAACACTAGTAAAGAACAATGTCAGGAAAAAATAAAGTTTGCTATATTGTAACGCGTTTTAGATTGTATCGATTAATTGTATTTATCTACCATCTGAAAAAAGATATAACAATGCGTGGCTTGATAATCGGATAAGGAATAGGTTTAGAATGAACAATACTAATATGACACATACTCACTCACTCACTCACTCATTCACTCACACACACACTCACTCACTCTCTCTCTCTCTCTCTCTCTCTCTCTCTATCTATCTATCTATCTATTTATCTATCTTTCAATGGTTCTTTACGTTAGAATGAGAATTCGTTTTATTAAAAAAAAATAATAAAAAAAAACAGCAACGTTTCAAAGTATTTTTAAATAGCAGCCATATATGATATTTGCCGCCAATGTTTAAAACTAAGAACGGAAGTATGTGTTGTTCTTTTTTTTTTGAGAAAAAAAAAATACCTGCGTTATCAAGGTCGTATATTTGATGATTAAAAGGATTAAAGTTTCGCGATCGAGACAACGCAGCTTGAACTTTGATCGAGACTTTAGTTGTCGTCATCGTCGTCTAACCAACAGCCCCGTCGTCTTTCTTCTTTCCCCTCTAAACTCACTTCGTTATAAATTGAAATACACACGCGCGTAGACGGCGCATGCGTATTTCGAGATAAAAGAGGCGCGTCGACGGCGGGCGTGACGGAGGGAACCGTGATCAAAATAAAAACTAAAAAAGTGTGTTATGTTCCCCATATATGTGTGTTGTTATTAAATGTCTTTTGGCATGGCGTGTATTTTTCGATTTTGCAATAACAAACGATAAGAAATAAACAACGGATTGAAGAGTACAATATTGGTATAAATAATAAACAATCGTATACTACATTATACGGTGCTATACAAAATAACGTCCAACGTGTTTGTTGTTTCAACGAAAGGATATTTTAAGAAATTTAAAACTTTTTCAAGAGAGAGAGAGAGAGAGAGAGAGAGAGATAGATGAGAACACGGTCGAATGAATGATACGCTATGCACGTTGAACCGGTCGTATCAAATTATTACGTAATAACGGGTGTACACCAAATACGACGAATCACGTCTCACGAACACAACTAATTCGAACGTCATTATATTTATCTTATATACGCGTTACGATGATGACGTTTCTCAACTGTCAATTACTACTTGCAGCATTTTGTTATTCGCTTGTTGATACCGTGTCGTATAAATTAGGATAATGAATTTATTTGCTTTTGTTTCCCCCCTCCCCGTTATTCTAATCTCTTTCATTTTATTTTTAGTTACCTTTGAGTTTGTTGTTTTTTCTTTTACGTTTTAATGACACGAACATTCGGACAAGTAAGAAAGAAGGGTGATTAATAATTATTTTGTATCGTTTAAAGAAAAAAAAAACGAGCTTGGATTTTTAACGACTGTGTGGAATTTAAATTCGTGTCTCAACCTAGTCTGAAAGTATCCAACGCACGCAAGATAACGTTACGACTTTCCACGAGTTACGAGTGAAAGTTTGTATGAAACTAATCCCCTTACCTTGAGTAATTTTATACTACGGTAAAAACGTTCTCCAATACTGCCCAAGTGGACTGTTACTTTTCTTTTTTAATAATAACGATTAACAGTAATATGTTTACAATTCAAAGTCCGTAGAACATTTATCAGCGTACAACAAGCGAATAATGTTTTATATCTACTAAAGTATAGTAGGAAGAAGTTTTATCTGTAAAATGGTATCAGGTACAAATAAAAATAATCTAAAAATAAACTTTATTATTTGTTCCTTCTATTTTAATTTGTTTTCTCGAGTCTATTTTTTTTAAATTAATTTTTTTTTTTTAAAATCAAGTTGAATAATTGTAATACTTGTATGCAGTTATTGAATTATTGTTATGTACGTTCAAAAGTTAACAAAATTATTTTTTTCTCTTATCGATTATTTTAATAGAGAAATTATATTTTATATTTTAATAATTTTACAATTCATTGTACGCAATTACATTATCATTTACGTATGTAATAGCCTTCAACATTTTGTTATTTCTTATTAACATGTAATATATGTGTATCACTGATGCGTAATTTACATTGTAAAAATATTAAACTTTAGACGATAAAAATAGAAATGACGAAGAATTTATTTTATTTTATTTTTTTGATATCTCGCAAAAATATAATTGATTATAAGAATAATAATATGTACATCTTTTATTAAGATAAGCGGTCGAAACTATATTATAAACTATTTCACAATGGACAATGTTCAATCCATACGCGTAATACTTCACGTTAAAAGGAGTAGGTCAGGCACGTGTTAAATATTTTTTGTTTTGTACATATGATGATGATGATGATGATGATGATGATGTGTGTGTATGTGTGTCTACATGTTCTTATCGATTTAATATCGCATAAAGCTTATTACTTATCTTATTATATCTTATTAAATTACTTATCTTTTTCTAAAAATTGTTTTCGTCTTTTTCGAGCTAATTTCGAATCATTTTGCTGTTCCCTCTTTTATGAAAATAGAGAATCCAAGAGAATTAAATAAATCGACAAAAATCGTTGCTAACGAATCTTCGATCGTTTCTAATAAAATGATAAAAAAGAAAAAAGAAAAAAAGAAATAATGGAGCTTTGAAATACCGAAAAAGAAAATTCCAGAAACAGCAAAGCAAGGATTATTCGCTTATCTGACGTTTATAATATTTTGTTTATACGATCAATCGATCGATCGATGCAATTGCGATAAATGAGCAACATTTGACAAGCAGATAGTTCCATATAAATCCTAAAATTATTCATACAAATATTAACAGACTGTTAAGTTGAATGACAATTAAAAAAAAATTAATGAAAAAACGAACAAAATGTTCAATTTACGATAAAGTAGCAGGGATAAAATAATCAAACATTATAAAGATTGTAATGATTAGAATTAATTTGGTTCTTATCATTTGAATAAATTTCATCACAGAATTTGATATTTGTAAAATTAAAATATTTGTTTATTTAAAATTAAAAATTTGTATTATCAACGTATCAATATTAATAATTTATTTATTTATAACTTATAATTATTCAGTGTTAGCGTCAAAAGGAAAATTATTAAACATAGATGTTAGTTTACATATACGTTGTTTTTCTACATTCACTCGTAGACAGTTTATTTTAAATTCTATTGTATTTTTATTATAAATTATTTGCATTATTACATTATATTATATATATGTTAGTAAATGTATTTACATTTATAGATGACTTTTATGACCCGGAAATGAAAACAATCGATGGTAATGTTTTATTATAATGTCATGTTAATAATATTCGCAATGAAGATATGTAATTTATAAAAAATAAGAACTTTCCAGACATGACGATTTCACATCATTTAACATTGATAATCAATTGTTTAATTACTTCTTTTATTAAATTACTAATTATCAAAAAATTTTAGTAACCAGACGGTTACTAATAAGATAGATGTATATTCAAAAAAATAAGATAAAATGTTTAATTTAACATTTGATGATGACTCATTTTATTGTTAATTCATTACGTATGTAAATATATTTGTTATTCTTTCTATCTTTTTAAAAATAAAATATTATAATTAATACGAGAGTAAGATTGAAAAAAATGGATTTTTCTGTTTTTTAAAATTTGTCAACACATTCATGTATTACGTAAGGTCGTTCGAAAATTCAAATATTTGTAAAGAGTGTTATCACTCAAAGAATGAAATAGATTATAGAGATGTTTTTTTAATCATTTTTTATCGGGGTCGTAAACAAATATTGAATAAACTTAATAAAGCGAAATGTAATCTTTTAACTTTTGCTTCCGAAATATCGAAGAAACTTGATCGATCCTTCGATCGATTGGAAAATATATAATCTAATAAGTTGAATCATTCCGACTATAACAAGATGATTATTTATCTTTTCTGTGTTGAATTATTTTCATCGATACAAATAACCTTATCCATTATTATGGAATATTATGTTTTTAATTTATCTTATTTTTTAAAATTTGGTTCTTAATTCGATTGCGATCATTGCTCTCGTATTATTTTTTTTTGTAGGAATATTATTTGAGATTATTTAAGATACTTGAAAATATTTTGTTTGAGTCTTTCGTTTTTTAGAAAAAAATATACGAACGTGCGCTGGATGGAAATCATCTCATAATTTTAATCATATTATAATTACTGTTAGTTCAGTATTCCAGTTTCAGACTAGCGGTACTTTTTCAATGAATAAAAATAATCATATAAGTTTGCAACGAAACTATGAATTACTTACGTATAAAGCGTAGTTGAAAGCTAATTAAGAAAAAAATAAAAAAAAAGAAAAAAAAAGAAATGTCTTAATTTTAAAGTTGTAAAAAATAGTCATCTTATTAATATTAAAATATTGATTTAGTTTGCATGTAGATTAATAATTTCATGGCTTTTAATGTTATTGCAATGATTTAAATAGGTTGCTAATTATAAGTAACAATATTCGCTTACAATATTGCTTGTCATCGATAAATGACAACGATAATTAAAAAGAAAAAAAAAGGAAAACTTATTTCCGTAATTTAATTCTTCCAACAGTTAAAGATTGAGAACATAAACAAGTAAAATTATATTCAAAGATTTCTTTAAGTTTTTACTTAGAAAATAAAATATTATGAACAAAAAATTAACCGATTAATTAATCTACCAGTTCTAATTTTTTTGTTCCCTGTCATTTCGTTAAAAAAGATAATTGATCGTTGATGGAAAAATACGAATGACCTATTAATGGTAATAATATCCGATTGATAAGTATAAAATAAGAGTTCCTACAAGACGTTACTATAGTTAAAAAAAAAGAAACAGAGAATTACTTTAATTCAGTCGAAGTATTGTAATTCAGGTAAAATTTGTCCTACATTTATTCTTTATTTATTTTATTTTTCAACTTGAAATGATAAAAGAAAGAGAGAGAGAGAGAGAGAGAGAGAGAGAGAGGGAGTGGGAGGGAGGTGGCAAGGAAAAGAAATAAGTATACGATGTAAAAGATGGAGAAGTGAAACGTGAAGGGAAAAGTAACGGCGCGAAGGAAGACGGCTTTCTATTGGTTGCCACTTTGGTCAGGTCGAGAGAATAGACGACACGAAAGCAGAAGCATGCAATAAGCAAGTTATATAGTCTTATGTACAACACACATCTTCTTCTCATTCTCGTTCCTCGTTCAGATGAGAGAGCAAGCGTTTCAAAAAAATTATCACGCTTTTTCTAATATTAGATACGCTCTAACATGTTCGTTCTCGTTCCTTGTTTTCTCCTTCTCTCTCTATCTCTCTCTGTTTTTTTCTTTTTTCACTTTCCCCTATTTTTTTTTATGACGACGGAACAAATTCACATAAGTTTTATACATACCGAACTTAAAAATGATATAACGATGACCCCTTTCTCTCCCTCCCTCTTTTTCTTTTTCTTCCACGAAGCAAAAAGCGATGATCGTGTCTGGTTCTTTTTGATATTTACGAATTACGACAAAAATTAGCACAATTTTGAATAAATACGAAAGGGTATAGTTACATCGAATTACATTATCAGATTTCTTTTCTTCTTTTTTCTTATTGTAACTAGAAACGCGAATTTTGTTTAAAAACTTTGTTTTCTTTTTACGGAAGACACGTTGGATATAATACGACTAAATGAGCGATACCGAGCAACCACAGCAATACTATGGACAACCGTATATCGAGTAATACCGAACGCCACTGATTCCGATGTAGTGAGTGTCCGAATGAACGCTCTTCGCGAGTAGCCGAACATTTACGGAAATGTACGATTTAGACCTGAAGATTGTACGCATACAATTTCGTATATATGAGAATGTAGTGTTTTAACTATCAATGTACATCTACGTACGTACGTATATACGTAGTGTAGTGGAGTAGTAATAGATTGGTAGTACAACATATGCACGTCTAAATATGTTTACTTTAGTGGTTTTCCATTCTCACAAATGAACTGTCTACTTATGTTTTGAGAAATACATATATATATATATATATGATGCAGGATCGTATTGTAATGGTTCTTAAAGACCCCACATTGTTACTTATCCCCCCACTTGTTAATTATCAATTATTACACGGATGTTATCGTAGATAAGAAACAATTTATTGTCTTTGTAACTACCATCTTATTTACGCATAAATTATTAATTATACATATAATTAAAAGTTATGATATAATTAATGTAAAAATTCGTTTGTAAAAGATTTTTGTATTATTATTAATATTAATATAGCAAAGAAATAAAATTCGATAAAGATTTGTTGTACATTTCTGCCGTACATTTGTTGTAAAGTTTTTAATAGTAAATTCGTGATATTTGGTTTATTATTACTTGACATAAATTAAATAGTAATTAGCAATATCAATTTCAGCAACTTTGAGATTTTTATTGCAATCTTAGGAAAGTTACGTGTGCTTTTTTATTCTTTTCCCGAGTTGATCTAGCTACTATATTTCTTGCAGCTTCTTTTATAAGAGAGAACAATGTTTATATCTGTATACATATATATGTTATTACATAATATTTATCTGTTGTATAAATTATAGATAATATTGAATAACAGATAAATAAAAATTGTAAAATTTAGTTCGTCGTACATTATCATATTTCTTTCATATTAGCATCTTATTACGTAATTACGCTTGCTTTAATTAAATATGATAAACAACAATAGAAGTAATACACCTGTTAAAAAGATAATAAAAATACAAAAATTAATATTATCACATTTTGTAAATATAATTATTGTAATAAAAAATATTGAATGATAATTTCATAGTTTAAAAATGATTCTAGTTAAAGACTTTTGTTGTTGTTCTTTTTTTAAAGTATCCTATCAGCTGTTAGACTCAAATTACATGGTTTTCGTAACCACTAGAGAGTTTAAAAATGTTTAAAATGCAACGTCGAAATATATGTATAGGAGTATTAACATCTAATTTTGGTTGAATTTCAAGAATATTGTCGCTTATTTAAGAAGTGATCTTTCTAGTTTTAATAATGAGTTTTCTAGTAGTCTAATGCAAGACAAAATGATTTCAATAGTATTTCGAAGACGATTTTCTAAATTTTTTTACAGTACTGCTATTTCGATATTTTCTGGAAAGTTTTGATATTTTTGCAATAGTCGATAATAACTATCGATTTTTTAATGTCAATAATGTTGATATTTATAGTTAACAAAGAATACACAAGTACGTAAAGTTTAGAAGTTTACTTTTTCCTAACCAGATTCATTTTAGTTGCTACCGTGACAAGCAGTGGGCGATAGTAGGTACTAACGCGATTACTATATAATACTATCAGAATGCAGTATTCTCTTTGATAGTTAATAGACTACAGGCCCGACCTAAAAAATCGATGGGTCATATGATCCCGCAGGAAACGTGTATTGGACGATAGAAGGGCACAAAATAATAATTTTTAGCACTATGCCGTGACTTGTAAGCTGTCCAACTGAGTGCAGGTGAGAATTAAAAAGCACAAAATAACCGGGTGCTTTTTTATCAAATGATTTTTTACGGCATTCTTACCACCTATAGATCCATCGAAAATAA